ATCGTTATTTCACTATTGATAACAATTGCATTTTATTTAATATAATCGAGGATTTTTCAATTCATCCCGTAAATCAATGTGACATATAAAAGCATGACTTTCCACGGAGGCTTCATTTCGATTGTTCACAACTATCGACATATGTTTATACGAATATTCGTCAAGATTAGAACGAACAGTTTGACAGAAATTGGGTGCCGAGTATGGAGAAGACATTTTATGTGAAAATTATATTTGAAATAATCTCAGCAATTGAAATTTAAATAATTCCAACGTTTCGTCCAGCTAACTTGTCTGGACGTCTTCAGGATAATAATCAAAATCAAAATCGTAAAAGAAATATGTAGCGTTGTAACAATGAAATTAAATCAAATCTATACTGTGTTAATTCAATCACATTTAGATGTTGATTTTAGTAAATAAGAACAAATATAAATGACTTTTTCAAATAAAGAGAACAGTTTAATCATCAGTCGTCAAAACAACGGCAGATTAGAAAGTTCGAAAAAATGTTAAAACATGTGTCAAACAACAAAGTTCAACAGACTAAAGATAAATCAAACACAGTGGATATAAGCAAAATGATCGTCAATTTATCTGACAGAATTCTCAGTTCCCACGAAATTTCATTGCTTAAAAAGGGTCTCAATTTCAATATAAGTAGAACACAATTATCGCCTTTGAATATTATATTAACAATAGAACCAGCTTTGAATGTACTTCCTAGTCAAACAGCGAATGAATCGGGGAATAAAATAATGACCACTTTATTAATAATATTGTGGCTTATTTATATTGAAATTGAGACCCTTTTTAAGCAATGAAATTTCGTGGGAACTGAGAATTCTGTCAGATAAATTGACGATCATTTTGCTTATATCCACTGTGTTTGATTTATCTTTAGTCTGTTGAACTTTGTTGTTTGACACATGTTTTAACATTTTTTCGAACTTTCTAATCTGCCGTTGTTTTGACGACTGATGATTAAACTGTTCTCTTTATTTGAAAAAGTCATTTATATTTGTTCTTATTTACTAAAATCAACATCTAAATGTGATTGAATTAACACAGTATAGATTTGATTTAATTTCATTGTTACAACGCTACATATTTCTTTGACGATTTTGATTTTGATTATTACCCTGAAGACGTCCAGACAAGTTAGCTGGACGAAACGTTGGAATTATTTAAATTTCAATTGCTGAGATTACTTCAAATATAATTTTCACATAAAATATCTACATATGTCTTTTATGATTAGACCACTGTAAAGCATTTCAACTAGCTAGATCAAAAAAAGTCAAATAAAGTTATTATCAGAGTTTTAAATAAAATATTCAGTGGAAATTATGTTAATATGAAGCACTCATCCATTCAATTGATGAAATAACAAAATGCTCAAAATCGCTTGATATGAAACATATATTGAACATCGAGAAACCGAAACGCTACAAATTCACCGGCACTTTTCTCCATACGATGTCAACAAGTTTCTCAAATATAATATAGATAGACAGGTAGATAGATGCGAGATGTGCTTGATTAAGTTTAAAAGTTAAGCATTCTATGTAAATATATGTCCTAGTTAGTAAATTTCTAACCGATACTGTGAAACAACTCTATCATATTAACAGATGAATAGATATAAATTAAGATGATCATTAACAGCGATTCTTAGTAATAGTTGTTTTACATTGAATTTACTTAATATATATTTATTTCTACTAAAAATAATGATAAAATACGGGTTGACTATATCAAAAGGAAACATTATTAACATTACTATGAGTTCGTGATAAAATTTCATAGATTAATTATCTTTATGTCAAATACTTATCTTATCAGAAGGGGTTTGTGGAGAGTTTTGGAAATTTCACAGATAGAAATCATGAGTCAGTTGAAGCTAGACCACCATGGAAAACCTGGAAGCACTGAACGGCCGTTTCGTCCTAGTATGGGACTCCTCAGCAGTTCAACCAGGTCTGTTGTGAGATATCAGCTCACTGAAGACAATGGTATATGGTGGTGCAACTTCGTGGATTGGTTGAAGTTAGACATTAACACCGTTGGATGCCGGCTTAGTGGTCTAATGGTTAAGTGCTCGCGCGCGAAGCCAGTAGGTCTTGGGGTCGAATCCCGTGGGGTGCGGGATCATGGATGCACACTGCTGAGGAGTCCTATACTAGGAGGAAACGGCCGTTCAATGGTTCCAGGTTTTCCATGGTGGTCTAGCTCCAACTGACTCATGATTTCAATCTGTGAAATTTCTAAAATCTCCACAAACACCTCCTGACATATCAAATTAATTGGTAAATTAATTTTAAAGAAAACAATTTCGATAGCAGGTAATTAAAATGAAAAAAACTTTCAAAACTATGTATCAAAAGTACTTGATGTTTGAAAAAAAAAGTTAATTGATGAAAACATCCGTAAAAACTAATGATGATAATAATAATAGTAGTAATAATGATGATAGTAATATTAATTTTATAAATAGTCAGACATAATCTCTTCTGGTAAACAGATAGATAATTTCAATTAGTTTAAATAAGGTTTCTGCTTAATTTATGTTATTCAATAATCAAACAATAAAAAACAAAATGTGGATTAAAAATGTTGAACAAGGGAAAGAGTTGGAATAAAATGAAATGAAGATTTAAAAAAATAATGAAAATTATAATAAATGGAATTGATTTATTTAGTATTGTTTTTTTATTTACTTAGTGTTTCATTTATAGTTTACAAATATAAATTGATTGACATTTAGAAGTGATTCAATATGGAAACAACAATAGACAAGTGAAATTGTTTACAAACACTAATATCTATATCTATATCTATATCTATATCTATATCTATATCTATATATCTATATCTATATCTATCTATCTATCTATCTATCTATCTATCTATATATATATATATATATATATATATATATATATAATATTAAATTGTATAAACTTTTGTAGAGACAATCATATTAGAATAGAACTATCTGGAAAGTTAGTCAACGATGTAGAAAATTTTTAGCTCAGACGGATGCTTTTGATGGTGTTGTGTTTTCGGGGATAAATGGATTATCAGTATGATGATTGTAGGGATTGTTAGATTTTATTGGGATCACAAACTAAACTAAGTCAATAGGTATCATTACCAAGGTTTTATTTGATAATTTCGAATAAATTGAGCATCGGGTAGATTGTTATAAATAAAAATAATCTATTTGTAATATCCCAATGAGTAGAAAAATGACATTTTCTGACGTATTGTGACTCAGTGTAAGCCACTTCTTCAGAGAACAAACAACCAAATTAAAACTAACACAAATTTAAATAGTACAACGGAACAATCATTTAAACTTGGATTATTTTTAATTTGGTTATTTATTCTCTGAAGAAGTGGCCTACACTAAGTCATGAAACGTCAGAAAATCTAATTTTTCTACTCATTGGGACATTACAAATATATTATTTATTTATAAACCAAGTTAAACAACCAATGAGAACCTAGAATAACATGATAGCCTTCTTGATGTAGTACACTCATTTCTAACCCCGATACTGCAATTCCAACCGGGGGTGTTAGACCTTGTATAATACCCGATGGTATATAAATTTGATTGCTGAGGTTTAATTTCCGTTCTAAGTAACATCTCCAGTGTCTACCTCATGCAGATGTCTAGAATGATAATGAAAAAGTCGCAACAACGTCATTTAGCTCAGAGAGTACAACATCATTGAAAGTTAATCAAGTTATTTGTTCAAATATAGTCAAAATCAAATGAGATGAGAATTTTAAAAAATTTGCTATTACTTTATTTAATGGAAATGTAGTAGTAGTGAAATTAAAATAAGCCTAACAATACGTTCATGGTATCACCAGTGAATTTTCCCTATAACATGAACTACTACATATGTAATGAAGCACAATGTGGGCACGGTAATCACTCGTGCATGAGAAAAGTGTATTGCAGGATTTATCAACCTCTTAATAGTGAATCAGCCAATCAGACATTATAGTTACAATTTTCATTCTTTATTACTTCGGATGTGTTAATTTTGTTATTATTTATTAATAATATTACTAGTATTATTACCAATCTTGGCTTAAACTCTCATAGTTAATAATAATCCAGCTTATATTTAATGCTAATTGTCTCATCTAGTTATAGATTGTGTTCGAAAAATTAGTAAGGGAACACAAAGTGACAACCCGTAACATGATATCCATTAAAAAGAGGGACAACCAAAACACCCTGCATTAATAAGGGTGACCACCAAAACGACACATACTAATAAGTGTGGGAATTCGCCCTTTGTTGTAGAAGAATGGCATAGGATGCAGATAGCATATTACCATCAATCAACTGAATTCTAAAAATTGTGGACTGTTAAATTCCATTTAATAGCTGTAATTTTTTGCTGCAAAAGCTGAACCTTTCCGTATTAAGTCGCTGAAGATTCATGCTTTTGCATAACTGAGAAGCACCGGATAAAAATGAAACATCTATCTAAAATACGACACTGGTTTTTAATGATTTGTTAATTAATTATTGTCAGTTTGTGATGAAGATTATCATCCTATGGAACAGAACGGAAATTAGCTGGTTTATAAAATTTGAGGTCCATCCTATTTTTTCTTTCAATTCATCTAAGAAAAATAAATATCCTTTTGAGTTTTTATCATCGTTTTTATGTCAGCATCATTTGCATATATTTAAAAAGGAAGTTATTCATAATTGATGGCAGATTTTTCCATGATGAAAAAAATCAAATGTGTTATTTAAGTGAAAATTACATTCGGATTGAACAAATTTAGCTTAAACATTCATGCTACTTATGATTAGTATAATAACTTAGAGTAAAAATTCGTGGTTTTCATCAGAAGTTAGGGAGGATTTGATCAAAAGTTGACTTCGAAATAATTCTACTAATCATAAACATAATAGAATATTAATTAGAATAAGAAGACAAGTTATTCTGAAAAGGGGAACTTACATTTTTCTAAAAGTATGGGTGGATTGTACACTAAGCTTGTTTGACTCCAGTAAAGTGGCACAGATCCACGACATTGGAGAAATACAACTGTATGTGGAAATTGACCAATGTCTGTATGCAAAATCTGTACGAAATTTTAAAAAATAATAATGACAATTACTACTATTATTAAGGTGTGAAATTAAACAAAAAATGGAAATTTTGTATGACTAATTAAATCCCAAGTTGACTGTTTGAATATTTATTTAGGCTACCTGTTCCTGCCATCTAGATATTTCAACAAATTATCCGTTTCTGTTTGTTTTAACACATCATTATGTCTATTATTCGCATGGCTTATTCAAGCGCGTTTATGAAAAGTTCAAAACCTTTCGATGCACAAGTTATAAAAAAGTACAATTAGAGATATCATGGGGGCTGGCAATATGCATTGAAAAGAATGAACACTAGATGTTGATTCCTGAACAGCTAACTCCTAACTGGTGACCACTCAATATCCATCGTCAGGATCGATCAAGAAATAAGAAACGGAAGATTGTTTAAATGCTCTGTGTTAAGAATTCTAACAAAAATATAATATTGAACAAAGCCATTATTAATAATTCAGAAATGATATTACATTTAGAAAACGACAGCATGTAAAACAATAAAACTACATAGTTGAACGACAAATGTGGGTCGGAACTGTTAAACCAAAAGATATGAAACAAATAAACAGAAATTTAACATCTCAATTGTACAATAATAAAAAAAGTACAAATGTTTTTTTATTTTTTTTAGTGTAAACTGATGGATAGCATATACCAATCAAGTCTTATTATATAATAATTATTTGTGTGATAACTAACATAACGGTTCCACCTTGTTTGTTTTACATGGTGAGAACTTTTGTACATGTAAATGAGCTCCAATCTAGATTGCAATGTTTGTACATCATAATTTATGTCTGATTATCATCTTTACGATTGGCTGACACATTTCAAACATTTCTTCTGAATGTCAGTAACTAAAGTATTTTAAACACACATTCTTAGTCATATTGTAGTGAAGGAACACTCAGGTGAGCGAAACCAATTTATTGTTTGATACGAACTACAGAATGTTCTCACAAGTTATGAAAACCATACATTCAATACATTATTTACACATCTTTATTCATTTGTACATGCTTCATGATTCTTTCAATTCTGTTGTTATTATGATTGCTAGTTGTTTCTCTTTCTTTTCTCTTCAATTCAATTTTCTGCTAACAGGCATTCTCCTTCCGATTGGTGCTACATACTACTTATATCTGTCAACATAAGTAGCATACACCATAATATTGTTCTTTGTAATTTTAAACAACTGATGCGAAGTTGTTGAACTTTAAATGAATCAATTTTATAATGAAAGTCTTGTCATGTTTGTGTTATTCAAAATTATAAAAGGAAATATTAATTAACTGAATGATTTATTTGGTTAGGTAGAATTTTTGTTTTGCAAACTTATTTCAAATGTAGATAGTTTCGAAAAGAAACAGAAAAAAAAAGTAATAGACTTATTGATTTACTATTTCATCCAAGAGATTTATAGTTTAAATTTTATTCAAGAAAAGCTAATTGAAACGATAGATACAAAGATAACTTTCATTACAGAAAATTATAATTTACAATTGATTGGTCACTGGATGGTGATCAATGTCATGTGTGATAGGTCCTTTTCAGTGCAGATCAAATCCTATCGATCAAGTAGCAGCGTGTTGGTTGGAGGTAGTCGACAGGAAACCCTGGACCTAGGTTTTGTGCTGCTTGGCACTCGTCAGCAAGGTATACCTGTAATCTTGAGAACTGATGCTTCCTGATTGGCTCGATCCCATGTTACCCAGGTTCATAGTCAGAGACGTTACCACTGAGGTGTCCAGGTCGCGACTGACCTCCTGTGGCACTAAGATTTATGTACGATTTGGTGACACGGCACCGAAACCATCGAGGAACATCAGTTCTCTCAAGATTACAGGTACACTTTGCTGACGAGTGCCAAGTAGCACGAAACCTAGGTTCACGATTTCCTGTTGACTACCTCCAACCACCATCTTATCTCTATATAGAAAATTATAAGCAATACCATAGGAAGAATAAATACAGAAAAACCTACTTGTTCTGTTTCAACATAATTAGCCACATGACCATTCATATCAATTCCACGACGTCTATAACGAGTACCTAGAAAAACAAAAGAGAAAAGTAATAAGTAAGAGTAGAGTTTTTATTTTACACTATAAATGAAAATAAAATGTACCCAAATATCATACGAAGCTTAATTGATTTGATTCATGTATAATAAAGGATGGAAAGTGAATAGTCTATTAGGAATTAATCAAAAACAATGAATTGATTCACATTTAATTCTGAAAATTATTCAAACAAAATGTTTTATGAATTCCATTTCAATAATTCATTATATTAGACTATGAAAAAACTGTTGACTATTACATAAAAACGAAGTAATATCTGATGTCATTAGGTAAAACCATGAGTTGATTGAAGCTAGATCATCATGTGAAACCAGAAAACACTGGAAGGTCGTTTCGTCCTAGTATGGGACTCCCCAGCAGTGCACATCCTCGATCCCGCCAGCCGTGAGATCCGAACCCAGGACATATCAGTCTCGCGCGCGAGCACTTAACCGTTAGACCACTGAGCCGGCATCCAACGGTGTTAATGTCTAACTTCAACCAATCCACGAAGTTGCACCACCATATACCATTGTCTTCAGTGAGCTGATATCTCACAACAGACCTGGTTGTACTCCACTGGTAACGGCTTCCCACTAGAACTCCAGGAGTATCTCTTGAAGTCAGTCACTAGTGAGCAGATGATTATTATCAGAAGGGGTTTGTGGAGATTTTTAGAAATTTTCACAGATTGAAATCATGAGTCAGTTGAAGCTAGACCAACATTGAAAACCTGAAAGCACTGAATTAATGAGTAATGTGAATAGAATTTTGAATGAAACTGGTTTAAAAGATTTAATCAATTAAATAAGCAAACAAAAATGTATATATCAGAAAAGACAGATATAAGATATTTTGTAGATTAGGTATTATGTGGTAAAAGACAAAGAAAAAACGGGTCAGTTGTTCAATAAAGTAATTTTATTCAGTACATAAAAATATTTCATCCAATTAGTTCCATTTATGAAATTAAATAAAGCTAGAACAAATATGGATACAGAATAATATGAATTCATTATATTTCGTGGTTTCTCATCAGCTACTAATAACCAAATATGTATTAGAATTTTACATTAAAGATATAGTGTGAAACAATTGACATAGGTGAACGAAAAAAGCTGGAATGACAAGTTGCTTACATCTGTTACCCCTCGGGGAGGAGCATAGGCCGTCAACCAGCACTCTCCATACAGCCTTGTCCTGGGCAATCCTGTTATCCATCCTTTTCATATCTGCTTCCGATTCCCGACGTAGCGCGTTCTTCAACATTTCGCTTTTCCGCTCCCTCTCAGGATTTTAGGTCAAGGATTGCCTCGTGATGCAGCTTGGTGATTTCCGTAATGTATGTCCTATCCATTTCCATCGTCTTTTCATAATTTCCTCCTCAGCTAGAAGGTGACTTGTTCTCTCCCACAAAAGGCTGTTGCTGATGGTATCTGGCCAATCGATGTTGAGTATCTTGCTTAGACAGCTATTTATAAGTACTTGTACCTTCTTAATGGTGGTTGTTGTAGTTCTCCAAGTTTCAGCTCCGTACAGTAGAACTGCCTTGACGTTCGTATTGAAGATTCTCACTTTGATATTGGTTGAAAGTTGTTTTGAGTTCCATATGTTCTTCAATTGAAGGAATGTGGACTTTTGCTTTGCCAATCCTCGCCTTTACGTCTGTGTCTGAACTTCCTTATTCATCGATGATGCTTCCCAAGTATGTGAAGGATTCTACATCCTCCAGAGTTCCACAATCATAAGTGATTGGATTGATGTTCTTCGTTTTGAATTTGAGGACCTTGGTTTTCCCCTTGTGTATATTGAGGCCTACTGATGCAGAGACTGCTGCTACATTGCCTGTCTTTATCTGCATTTGTTCGTGTGTATGCGATAGGAGGGCTAGGTCTGTGAAGTCCAAATCGTCTAATTGGTTCAGAGATGTCCACTGTATTCCGTGTTTTCTCTCAGATGTCGAGGTCTTCATAAGCCAGTCGATCATCAGAAGACAGAGGAAGGAGGAAAGTATAAAGCCTTATCTGAATCCGTTCATCGTCTAAAATGCGTCTATCAGCTGTCCTCTATGCACGACATTGCACTGTAGTCCGTCGTATGAGTTCTGGATAACCTAGACGATCATCTCAGGAACTCCGTAGTGTCGAAGAAGTTTCCATAATGTTCTTCTATCTACACTGTCAAACGCCTTTTCATAATCAATGAAGTTGATGCATAGCGACGAATTCCATTCAACTGATTGTTTAACGATAATCCGTAGTGTCGCAATTCGGTTTACGCACGACCGATCCTTACGGAATACAGCCTGTTGATCTAGAAGTTGGGCGTGTAATGTGTCTTTCACCCGGTTCAATAGAACTCTGTTGAAAACTTTTCGTGGTACTGACAGTAGTGTGGTGCCTCTGTAGTTCTTACATTTGCCCAGATCACCTTTCTTTGGTATCAGCACCTGTTCCTCCTCCTAAATCGTCTTGGATATAAGGTTAGGCATACTTGTGGTTACTTCTATGCCTGACTTCAGTGCTTCGGCTGATATATTGTGAAGTCCAGCTACTTTCCCACAGTTAATTTGTCTGATGACCGGCCATTCTGATTTTTTCGATCTTTGGTGGAGTCACATCCATAGGGAGGTCTGTGTGTGCTGATTCGATGTCCGGTGAATTCAATCGAGCTGGTCTATTCCAGAATTCTCCGAAGAATTCTACCCATCTGTTCTTGAATCTCAGTGATTGTCTTGCCTTCTTTGTCCTTGACCGGTTTATCTGATTTAATATATTTCCCTGCTACTTTCTTTCTTTTATCATATAACTGTCTCATATTTCCTCCTCTTGCAGCCTTTTCCACTCTCGTTGCTCGTTCTTCCACGTATTTCTGCTTGTAGGCCCTAATGCTCCTTTTCAATTGCTTGTTTGCTTCAGTGTAGTCAGCTTGCGCCTTGACCTCTGTTTTTGTTCGATTGTTGTTAGTTACCATTTTCTTGTTCCTCCTTTCTTGAATCTTGTTTAAGTTTCCCATAGAGATCCATTCTTACGATGATGCTTCTTGTGCATATATATATATATATAGTTGTAAGTAGCTGATAAGAAACCGCGAAATGTAATGAATTCATATTATCCTGCATCCATGTTTGTTCTGGTTTTATTCAAATTAATAAAAATAGTGGTTGATAATCATCAAAGTGGGACTGTTTATTTGAATTTTTTATTTGTTAGCAATTTTTCATAAAGTGACAGCAATGTAGATAACATTTGTAGTACTTTAAACATAAATAAGTCGGTATCAAATTAAACGAGCTATTAAAACTATTATTAATAACAATACCAATAGTAGTAATAAATCATTTTACCTACATTTCAATCATCAGTAGGTATATTTATCATCCAGAAACATCACGTATCGACTCAAGGCTTCTCGTTAATAGTGGGGATAGATAATAACTGAGTGTGATACCCGTGTTTACTATCGTATTATTTTGCATATAATTTCAATATTTTTATTAGGTCAGATTTATGTACTTGTTAAATGGAGTGCAGAATTCCGTTAACTAGTAATCAATGAATCTAGTCTTGTATATAACTGAGTGAAATGTTATTATAGATGAAGGTATTGGATTTGAGGTAAGACATAAAAAGCAAAACAAACAGCACTTACTCCCTATCTTGTATTAAGCCAACATCAAGTTTCCTTTCCAATTATATAACATTTCTGAGATCGGATCCTAGTTTCAATCATATCACAGTCTTCGTTCGCAGTCATAACAGGGGCCGTTCTCATGCCTTCAGTACGAATGTCATCCCAGAGAATTCCTCGTCGTGCATTATATGCCGACACTGAGACCGGTTGGAAAAAGCGGAGAAATGGGGATATGACATGGTGTCGTGGTATTGTGGTGAACGAAACTAATCTATTGTTTAACGCAAAATTATGTATTAAATGCATCATGTGCACATCTACTTTGCGTTTTCCTTTGCCTAATAGATTATTCCTCTAATTCTGTTGTTATTTTCATTGGTCTACGATTTCCTTTCTGCTTCATTCAATTCAATCTCCCTCTCCAAGGTATTCTACTTTCGATTGCGGCTGCATGCTACTTATATATGTCAGCATAAGTAGCAAACACCACAATATGAAAGAAAGCTGTACAGGACTGGCTTCTGTTGGTCCTTCACGACTCGCTGGTTGTGGTCATAGAGACAGTATAACATAGTGGCTTGAGACGTTATCAGATATGACACAGTATAGAAGGCAGTGGCGATCCTACTATAACTTTCTTTTACTGTCTTCATTAAGGTGAACGTAACCTCTTTGACTGAAAGAATTCCTTCTGGTTGTATATTTCCCAACTGAACTGCTTCTCGCATTATTATTATTATTATTTCGCTCTCATGCAATAATTTCTGTTCGTTGTTGTTCTTCTTTTATTATAAGCACTTTACATTCTCTATGCTGTACCGTCTCTAAGATCCCAACCAGAGAGTAGTGAAAAACCAACAGAAGCCAGTCCTCTACAGCTTTTTTCAATACTACGACACTATGTCGTACACTGACCACCTCTCCGGCTTTTCAAACAGAACTCTATCGGCAAATAATGCACGACGTGGAATTCTCTGCGACGACACATCCAAACCACTGAAGTCGATGTTTCAAGATAGTAGTACTAATTGAATTGTCGTTGCTATGTCCGAACACACGACGCTGAACATCCGCATTACTGACATGTTGCCACTGGGTGTCAGCGCCAAAAATGGCCCAGATTGGCATAAGCCGCTCTGGCTTACATTATAAGTCAATTGATTTCATCACTCACGCTACCACCAGCACCTGTGCAGCTACCCAGATACACGAACTTCTCGACAACTACCCACTTACTACCCAGTGTGAGTGTAGGATCAGAGTCCTGCCAGTCTTGTAAAAGTACTTTACACTTGGAAGGTGGAAAGCAGTTACCATACCTGCGAACACCAATTTTCAACTGATTAAGTGCGGATTCTATGACTTTGGCATCGTCGCACAGTAAGGCAGTACCATCCGCGATGTGATCAATCTGATTCCAGGTTTGAGATGTAGAGGCAGGACGCCAGGTGGCACATCGGCGATGACTGTGCCGGTAGTTGCTGCTAGCCAGAAACAGGTTGTGGTCTGCGCGCAGTTGCAGAAGATGGTCACCGTTATCTGACCTGCGACCAACAAGTTTCCACCGGCCACCTAAACAACTCTCTTCTGTGCCTAGAGACTCGACTAGTACTAGTACTACAATATCTGTCGAACGCACCTTCTGTAGAAGAACTGTTAACTGGTGGAGAAACACACATACTTGATAGCATCCGGGCTGCAATCTATCGGAGCATAGGCGGAGATGACGAAAAGACATCGTTTCTCACGCCGATTTCTTCTTACTTTGAAGGAAATTTCTAATCTAACAGCACATAACCGACAGCTAATAGGGATCCAATGGATTAGTGCTGCCTCAGCTCTAGTACCTAGTGCAACACCAACGCTAACGAAACCAGATGTCATAGGGTTCCCGGATAAACGCAAGAGAAACATGCTTTTCGAAGCGATAGATCGAGCTTGAATCTGTAGCACTTCACTAGAGTTTTGAATACGGGTCTCAGATAGACAACAGACATCGATATCGAGATTTTCTGAAGTTGTGACCAACCCTATTTATTTTCCTATCTGCATTAGTCCGTGAACGTTGAAGGAGGCCAGTCTGAATGGTATATGTGGTATCAGAAAGACTGGTTTAGTATTCGTATTCGGTGGTAGCATTCAACTTTCCATCAGCCAGTGACTTGAGATCGTTTAGATACGACAGGGATTCCACCATAGGCGAGCTTTCGTATAAGTTGAGAAATAAAATACGCAAAATGAAAATAAAGGGGGATACACAAGTGGGGTAGTATAAAAGAAATAAAAACGAATGCTATCATACGATTGTGAATAAGATTTGTCTGAGAAAGCGTTGAAGCAAGAGGAACTTTCCCAGTCGTAGTTCTAATTGGTTTGTGTGAGGGCTGTGATACTGCCCAGGTGCCCAAACCAAAGCAGGTGATTATAAATATAATTGTAGTATCCGCCCATATGATTAGATTTCCTTGAGACAGGAACTCTCTCGCAAAAACAAGTTCTCCTATCATTGCAAACATCTGCTTTCCCGTTGAAGTATACTTCTACATTAGTTATTTAATCTAACTTATCACGTTAAACTTGTTAACATCTCAGCAGTATTTACTCACTTGTTTGAAACACATCCACAGAATGTGATTGCATTGTTGTTTTCACTGAGATGTGAGCAAAACAGAACGCTGTCACATTCAAATGACTAGTCTTAAGTGAGATGAAATATTCTTCATGAACCGCAAAACATATTAAACAAATTTTAATTATACAAAGATTTATTTCCTATGCATTAAACAAGTACGAATAACAAAACCAAAATAAGCGTAAAAATAACTTACCAGCTCGATAACAGCTACGACGTGAAAATATTATTACTGTAACATGTTCCATATCTCTAATGATCATTGGCTTTAGATTATTATGACTAGAATTCTTATTTATATTATTACTATCATATGGATTATTTTTCGACAATAAATTATTATTTGAACTTGCCATATTACGAGTATTAAGACAAACAGTTTCAACAGTATTTTCTGTTATGGAATTACCGCCATTTGTCAGTGTCGTTATATCGACTAATTTATTTACTTTGCCATTTGAAATATCTATCGAACTATTCGATTGTGACAATTTTATTATTGAAGGTGATTGTTTTCTTTCCGTGCCTGGTGTTGGTGTTGTTGATGATGATGAAAACGATGGTTTAGATGAGAAGACTAATGAATCGAATTCTACGTCTTGTTTAGCACTGATATCAACATTATCATTAATATAAGTGAATGGCTGTAAGTGGTGTGCTGTTCTGTCTCCTCGAGCATCGATTGTGGATTTATCTTTTAAACCAATTATATTTATTTGGTCTTCTTCATTTGAGTTTGTATTTACGGAATTATTTAAAAATTCTACACCTATTAAAGGTAAATCACTGTTTGGCTTTTCAGTAAATTCTTTTGCTTTCTTTATGACATTCACTTGGAGATGACCTTGAATTCGGTCTAAAATGAGCTCTTCAAAATGTACATAACCTTGAACAATAGGCATTAACAGACCTTCTAAATCAGTTACTAAACTATTGAATTGAGTGACAGATTCAGAAGATTTGAAATTAGAACCGTAGGCTGGAAAACCGCATGTTGTAAGCATACGATCTGCTTCAATAATTGGTTGGGATATTAAATAAAAATTCCAGAAGAATCTTTCATCAGCACGTCTCCAAACAGGTTGATGCCAAACAGGTTTAAATTGTTTTGAAGAGTAATATGATTGTTCTTCACTGGTAGTATTATCAGTTAAAAGATCATCAGTATTTACAGGTACACCATTCCAATAAGATGGGTGTGTTTTACGTTGGGTCCAATTGGTAAGATCACCTCCACCGGGGGAAAAATAGAAATAAGATTCATCTTCAGATTGAAGCATATTGATTAACTCCTTGAAATCAAACAAAAGATGATGGCGATTGCATGATAATAAGTGGATGGTATATGATATGCTTTAAATATTTATAAGAATTCATAACAATCCAACAATAATGGCAATGGATTGTATATAGTTGATATTTAGCACCATGCTCTAGCATAAAATCATGTGTTATCAAAGATGTTCGAAAATGATAAGATAAATAAGGAACTATTGGATAGTTAAATGCAATAATTTTACACTAGCCATAATTTGACTAAATCAGTTAAAAATCTGGAAATAACAGTACATACAGAATAATAGGCTATACTCAGTTAACACGGCTTACTTATACAATTCAATTTCTAGAGAAGATAAGTAAGTAATCTACACATTAGACTATAAATGGGTCATGTTTACTTATCAACTGTACAATGAAAGTTATTGAGATCAACTAGATGAAAGCTGATGTGTATCCAAAATACAGCCAAATCATTCCTAATCAAGTTGTGTATATCAGCTTCATATTATACATTTTTCACTGTTAGACCCTTTTTATGTTCATCTTTGCCTCACCTGTTCTTATGAAACACTCCATTTACATGATATCACTATAATCAAAATAACTCTGACATAACATTACTCCCATTTTTATTGTATCCACATAACATATTTTACACAACCCATACCTTTACTAATCACATATTTTGTAAGTACTTAATGAGCGATCGACTTTCATTCCAATGCTTACAATTTATCATACAGATTCTCTCTCTCTCTCTCTCTCTCTCTCTCTATATATATATATATATATATATATATATATATATATATATATATATAGTGCACATGGTCAAAAGAATTTCTTTAAAACGAACGTGAGTAGCTGTTTACGTTTGTTGCTTTACTACAAGATACGAAAGATTTCTTGCAGAAGTACAAAGATGAAGAATTTTCATTTACTATTTTATCAGTAAAATAACAATAACCCATAAGAATTAATCAACTGTGCAGGCTAAAACTGAAGGTAATCCATTTTCACAAGCAACAGAAGATTGTCAATAACAATAAACTATCGATATGAGTAGAAAACGTTAACTCTTCAATTGTGTTTAGAGTTTGTCAATATGAGTTTTTCCAATCATCTAACAGTTACAAAAAGGTAAAAATGCCAATTTAGATATTACGAAACGAAAAAAAATATAACTTGAATGAAGAGATGTTTTCTACTCGATAATTTCGTTATTATGAATCTACATTAAAAGTATATACGTTTTAAAAGTGATAATATAATCGATACTAATTTCTTGGTAATAAGTTAGTTTACAGTATTACAAATTCACAGTTATTTATGAACACAATAATGAATATTTATTGAGGTATATTAGAGATTAAGATGAATATGACAGTTAAAGCGTTTTAAATTTGTTTTAATAAATGAGTTACAATAGGTTATCACATTGTATAATAATTGATAAATGGCTTAGAAACTTGTTAAACGAACGTTACGCAGTGATAAACGGATGAATATTAGAAATGATTAATTACAGAATCACTCCGAGCTATTAAAATAAAATATGAGGAGAATTCTATACGATACTGATGCTCAGGGTGGTAGGGAAAACGGTTGTATAAATTTCTTCTGAGATCGAAGAGTTGGTCTTGTAAGATGAAGGCAAACGACTTCAACGTGGTACAGTATACACATATGCATAACACGTAGAATATTAGATGATACTTGATACACGAATAAATAAGCTTTATTTGGATTAACTTCATGTCTTATACCCAATAATCCAGATCGATCTTATCTGTTAGTTGAACTAAAAAGTTAAAAGACCTGTCTAAAAATCCTATAATTTGATTTCGTATTTGGCGTTGTAACTATTTACCATGATGACTTTTGATGAAAGTTTTCGACAGAACTCATTATTAATGTTATCCTAGCTGCAATCAGCTAGAACGTAGGCCGAGTCACTACAGACCTATTCATCCAGAAAACGTACAGAGATACAGAATAAATTTACTCAAAGGATTTTAGAGTTCAGACTGGTGGTACTTGATGTTCAGTTTAACAGAAGATCCAAACACTGAAAGCTATAACATGTGCTTCAGAGCTTTGTTTCAAGAGACAACATACGACAGTTTGTGAGACAGGATTTATAGCAGTAGTTACAAATAAGAAAGAAAATGAAGCTAGCATAATAGATTTGATAGTACATCAAGAGAACGAAATCAATAAGCCAACGGACCGTAAAATGAATGAGCCCAATTGATGTTATGATTGTATAAGGAAATAACATTTTAATACTGCCCACATTACAGAAGAATGTTTTGCGTTGGGGAACTTGAGAAAGAATTGGTATTGGCATTAATTTGTGAAAAAAAGCAAGAGAAAACAACGTAGAATAAGAACAACATCAGGAAATAAGAATAATGACAAACAATAAAACGAATCACAGTAATAAGATGTTAGTCATCGATATTAGAATAAGCAATGGAGATATTTGTATTTAACTAACATCTAGACATTTCGAAAAAAATGAGTTGAAGCCTTTCGACAATTAATAAGTTCGAAATTCTATCATATAATCACTGGAATATAAAAATAACTTATTATCTGAAAATGATGGAATCATAAAAGAAAACAAACCAAATATGGTGTGTAAACAGGAAATGAAGTGAGAATAAAAATATTAAATGATATTAGACGGATTTCTGTGAGTAACTAGAATTGACTGGAAAACTAATAAACATCAAGAACTGCTACAGGACATCGGTTTTCATGTCAATTAGGGACTCGTTAGCAGTGCACACCTACAACTGCGTGGGGGGTTGAAAAGCGAATTTTCAGGTTTCGTAGCAAACCAATTACGTTTACAGTGGATACCTAAGTTTCAATTGGTGTTTATTTTAACACATAAACATTGTTACAAGGAGGCACCGAATATATAGGCGCAACACTTCATCATTCTAATTTTGAGAGGGCTAGGATATCTCTCAGACGCCCGAACCAAAGCAAAGGGTTTCATAAGGAGGCACATCCCGAGCCTTTGGTCTTGAAGTCTAGTCCACAAGGCAATGGAGCAACGTTAGGAGATGCAGACTCATGGTAGCCGGTAACCAAAGGTAGGTTCACACAAAATTCGTCCCCTAAGAATCCTGGATCCCATGTGCACGATCGGTTTGGAATTAGGGTCTTCCAACTCTCCTAGGTGGATTCTCTGTATCCACCAACCCGGTTAAAGTGCCGGACACTTTCTCGTCATTCTCTCAGTTTCGCCTGCCGCAAGAAGGCAGTGAGTAGCACTTCCCTGGTAGCGGCACTTCTAAAGGGAAAGCGGGGTGCCTCCATCCTCGAACGTGGCAGGCATTTGGGGAGTAGTTTCAATCTACAATAAAATGATTTTAACAAATAATGACTATGTCCTTCTCAATGATCAGCTTCGAGATGGATTTAATGAAGTTCTAATAGAGTAAGTGAATCTTAGAGTCAAATAATTTGAAAGTGTGAAGGTAACTCAACGATAACCTTTTATACAGATCGTATCATACCAGCAACTGATAGAAATTAGACATATAGACTTGTGTTAACTGTAAAATTTGTAATTCAATTTCATATGAATTATAGAATTGTTCACAGTTTTTTTTAATGTTTCAATTGTGAAAAGTAATCTAAATTTCATACTAGATGAAACGCCTTCAAACCTACTTAACTAATAGTTGATAAGAAAGACAGAAAGTCAATTATCGAAAATAAGAATTATACTTTGTTAATTACTTAGTAGATTCAATTTGTTAACATTATCCTCAATGAGAAAATTTTATGTTAAAATAAGGAATTAGTATAAATTTTTAAATTATTAAAAGTATAAAAGATTTTCTTACAAAAAGAAATGAAAGAACAGGAACGAGAGAAAAACAACAACATTGGAACAAAGTAAGATATAAAAGATTCAAGGAGAAACAGACTGCTATTAAAGAAATCAGACCAAGATACACACACACACGAATGTATAAATACATTCAAAACTTTACTTTAAAAAGACTACTTAAAATTTAAAAGTCTAAGATAAAGCAATCTAACTATTCAACAGTATAATAAATTATCTTATTTATTTCTATTATCTTAGGAATATGAGGGTTCGGTCAGTCAGTCAGTTATACGAGACCTAGAACTTGTGGCATGTGTATACGTCAGTTCAAATTGTTATATCCCATTGGCATAGCAAAGAAGTTGTTCAAAAAAGTCCCAATGTAATAGAGGTAGTGGTAGTAATAGTAGTGCTGTAAAAGATTCGTGAAATTAAAAAAAATTATGGTGGATTTAGAAGCCTAAGAGTGAATGCATCTGCACCATTGCGAATGATTTTGAGTCATGTCACCTACAGTTTCTAAACATTGGCAACGATAATCATGCGGACATCAACCAGGCAGTCTACACCTATTTATGCGAGTCAGTTTAATAGTCAGCATCCTCATGGACTGATGCCATGTTTTGGATTGGCTGGTCCTAGCTTCGTTCCGGCCTACTCGTACATCAGACATCATCGCGCATTGACGTATTTAGTGGAAGGTCATAAGCAGTACATATCCTGAGCATCTTAGTAAATAAAGATTCACTAGCTCATCGATCGATTTGTCACACTTGACTAGTAGTCTGCATCTAACCTCAGGATTGCTAAATAAATGGTCCCAAGATATACGACAAATGCTTCGAAGATGCCTATGATCGAACCCTCCATCAATTGTATAAAACTTTATCGTTCCTTCATTGCGATAACAATTACTCTCTGTTCCCATTCGCTTCAAATTGATCTTTCCACCCCTTTTCTCCCAAGAATTCCACTTGTGATTGGCATTGCAGGCCACTTATGTGTGATGACATAAGTAGCATACACTACAGTAATATTCAGCTGCACAAAACAGAGTGGTGGTTGGACCTAGGATTTAGTGGTTGAAAATTGAACACCTTAATCACTAAGATACCTCTGTATTTAACATTTTAACCGGCCAATATAATTAGGAAATATGTAAACTATTGTCAGTCATAAAAGCAACAATAATTCATGAACTCAATCATAATTTGATCGGTTTTTACAAGAAGTCTCTATGATTGATCTCTTTTGTATTGATTTAGTAATATTGTATTAACCTGAAACATTTCGTTGTGTTGTTTCAAGAGTTTTCATGTTACCACTGCTATCTCTCATTTGATATAATTTATACATTCCTTATTCGATTTAATTATGATTCCAAAACTTAGCTTTAAGCATTATGAATAGGGTTTTCACCATAAACTACGATTAAAAAAGATATTAGGGAAAACTCGAAAACATTGAAGATCCAATATTAATGCGCACTTCCAGAACTTTATAAAGCATTGAACTCATGACTTTCAAGTTTCCAGACGGGTAAAACGTCAATAAGCAGCAGAATCCGAATCCAAAACAGGTACATTTTTAAACTTGAACTAATGGGTGATATAATGTGATCACTTTGAAATTCCATTCATAGGTTACAGCATCGCTCTAGATATGAGTAACTCGACACATCACTGGTTCTAACTAGAACCTTTATAAATCGATTTTGAAAAAAAACTAGTCACTAGTGTGAACAAGATTATTATTGAATTATGTGATTTATGAATTAATTAGGGTTAAGGTAAATTATCGTTATGGAATCGTAAACTTAGATTTAAAAAATAACGCTTCAGTTCCCTTTGATTTTTTTGAATAATTCTTCAACTGACATTCGACCAAGAAAATTACATTGTAATTCAATAAATTTTCATAAACCATCCAATTAAAGCAGTGACTATTTATTACCTTAATTCTAAAGAAACCCTGAACATTTAAATAACGGAAAAAAGATTGATGTCTTTTTTTAAAATAGAAGATTTGTTGAATAATTTTGTGGTGTGGGTTACTTATATCCACACAAGTAGTATATAACGGTGGTTAGTCATAGAATGTATTTCAGTAGAAGGTCGATGAGGAAAGAACGGGAACGAAACGCAGTTAGTATAAAAACACATGAACAATGAAATCTGAGACAATAGATTGATGTTTGCAACAGGAAAAGTCAAGTTTGAGATGATGGATTGATATTTTGCAAATTACCAATTACTATATGGTTCTCAGATGTTAGTGAGATGCTCTGTAACTTTGTACTCAAATACATTCGATTGTCCCCATTTATGTTCTTTTTCACTACAATCCCACCAAAATGTATGCAGGACAATTAAGAGTTTGGAATTCAATGTTGAAGTACAGATACCCAATAAACATTTGGTACAAAAATTGGTCAGCATTAGTTACACTAGTGATTAATTTAATTATGTAATAATTTCCGAAAAATGCATCAGAAAAAACATGAAAAAAACTATTCAACAAAAGGAAATATTTGGCTCTTGTTGCTGTGTTAATGTGATAATAGTTTTTCAAGTTAGGAAATAACAACTAATCAATGAACAACATGAAAGTAGAATAATCTTACCTCTTCAATACGTTGCTCATATTTCTCTTTCCGTTTAAGTATTCTCTGATATAAGAGATGTATGTATCATCCAAAACAGTAGTATAGACAAAAATAGAAAAGCAAGGTAAGAAATATTGGATGAAAGAAAGTACAAAACATGAAATTTATTTGGTAGTATAATTGTATAATTTTATTCGCGTTATAATGAATTTGAAAGATAAAGTTCACCAAAATCATACAACATATATCAAGGTGCTGTGTTCAAATATCAACTATTATACTAATAGTATTTGGATTATTTAAAACGCTATGCAGATAATCAGAAGATCTAGCAGTGCATGTTGGAATATGGCGATGATGGTTCAATACATGTTACTATTTTGAAACGTCAGTTTCGATGACTCGGTGACCTTTTAAAATATGTTGTTCTAGTAGTTACTGCTTAGCACACTTATTGTCCCACATTAAGACTGCGAGCGGAATGGAAGAGGTGACCTACTTATAATATGATACGTAGAAATGAGGTATATTTGTGTGAAAGTAACATTCGATGATTTGTCATAACTTTCTGTTGAAGTCCTAACTTGTATATTTAAGTACCTTTAAACAATAACCAACATACCACAACATACAATTTATATGGGATCCTGCTAAGATGTAGCTCTCTAAACCGAACAACGAATTAATTGGTTTTGTTCTTACTTGAATAGCCTTTAGTAATACCTTTTAATCCTTCCAAAAAGAACTATTTCTCCCTTTTTATTTAACAATACTTTTATTTCCTTCTGTGGACGTCATTTTTTAGTGTTCTGTTATACCAAGCGCTTTGTGTTATAAATCAAATAATATACGTAATTGCAATCGCATCACACTACACATGGAAATCTACCGTAAGCATAATCGTAAATTTAATTTGATTTGAGCTGTCGCAATTCTATAAACTAATCATCTCTCCTTGTCTCTTGAATTGACTTTAAATCCATAACGGGATTCATAGCGTTGATTTTACAACTTCTTCACACATCTGTTTCGTGTCTTTCACAACTCCTTAAATACTTATAACTGACATCTTATATTTAGAATAATACAACAATATAGTCAGTCAGTCAGCTACAAGGTAGGACCAGGCACATATATGCATCGGTCCAAGTTGCCATACCACATTAACACAGCATAACGAACACTGGATTCATAGAGGCAGTTAACTTAATGATAGTAATATATAAAAGATTTTATGTCAAGATATAATACAGTAAGAAAGAATTAATTCATAGAGAGAAAGGTAAGAAGTGATTTTAATCTCATAGTTTAAGGGAAGACAGAGAGTGTATACACCGACGCCATTGTGATCGATTCTGAGCCATGTCACACAGAGTCTCCAACCATTGGCTACGATAGTCACTGCCGTAAATTAAAACAAAACGGACTGCCGCGCAATATACTCGTCCTTTTATTGATAGACGGATATGTCGGCTTCGCCATACGTGACGTAAGTTGGTAAAACCCAAAAGAGCTTTTCGAATCCGTGATGGGATTTCGTCAGACATCAACCCATTAGAGCTGGTCAGACTCCCAAGATAAGTGAAGTTGTCAACGAGTTCGACTACTTCACTCCCTATCCTTAGTTCAGGTGTTGACGCAGACCAGTCCTGAAGCAACAACTTGCATTTAGAAGGAGAGAAGCGCATTCCAAACATTCTGGCATTGTTGCTTAGTGCTACCAGAAGACTCTGCATTTTATCAGAGTCTTCATCAACAGGACTATGTCATTTGGGTATTCTGAGACAATAAGTGGACCTCCTGGTAGGAGATCAATACCCGAGAATTCAGTCAAGGAGAATGTTATTTCCATCAGTAGGTCTATGATGAAGTTAACCAGAAATGGAGAAAGTGGACAGCCTTGACGGACACCACTTGAGGTTGCAAAAGCAGATGACAGTTCGCCATAAGCTGTGACTCGAGGTACGCCTTTCAATGACAGACACTGACACAGAACCTCTCGGTCTACAGAGCCAAGCCATCATTGTTGGACGCCGACGAATATGCGGTCGATGCAACCACGGCCAAGTCTAAAGCCAGTCTGACTTTCTCGTGTTTGTAGTTCACAAGTCTTTCTTAGGCGTCCGGTAATTATTGAGGCTAGTATTTTAGATGCTGTGTTAGTCAAACTACTCCCTCTATGGTTATCACAGGATGATTTTGACCCCTTCTTATATACTGTGATTGAGACCAGTTAGATGGGATTACATTCAGTTCCCAGATCTTAGCTAAAATATTTGTCAACCTAATCGCTAAAACTGGACCACCATCCTTAAAAACTTCCGTACCCAATCCGTCTGGACCAGCTGCCCTTTCCTCAACTTCAGATAGAGTCAGGAGACCTACTTCAATGTTCCATTCAGGCTGTCTGGGAATGGTGGGCAGTCGTAGAGTAGCTGAAGGCCAGCTGAACTGCTCCTTAAAGTGTTCCACCCATCGTTCTAAACATCTGGACTGGGAGCAGATATGAGTGTCGTCTTTTTCCGATATCGTCTCACTTAAACTTATTAATTCCGGTTTCCTTTATTAGTCTGAAGAGCTGTCTTGTATTACACACAACCGCCGCCTTTTACATCTCTTTCGCATTCGTTGCCCACCACTGCTCACAGTCGTTCCTTAGACTTTTGGTTAACCTAGATTTTATTTGCTTTCGCTCTTCATCGTGTTCAGAGCCTGATGTGATGAGTTTACGATAACCCATCAGTGCAATAGAGTTAGAAGAAATCTATTGGTTTTTCATAACCCTTTGGTTTAAACCACTAATAAATGTCACTGCTCTTTCCACAGCTGCTTGTATATCTTTTCAAGCAACATCTAGGACAGCCTTGTTTTCAGAACTACCTAAGTGTGACCTCAGTTGTTCCTCAAATCTACTCCTAGCTTTCTCGTCACTCAATTCAATTCTAATGGGTCTTCTTAGTGTGGCTTTTCTGAGTCCAGTGGGGCGCAAGCAGATCCGTGCCCGTATTAGAGCATGGTCGGAGTCCAAGCAGCTACTCCAGAATAAGCGACAATCGTCTATCTCCAACGATGACTGATGGCAATATGATCTATTTGAGTCCATCGTTGGTTTGATGCAGGCGGTCGCCGTGTTAGACGATATCTCTCCTTATGCTTAAAACTAGTGCTTGCTAAAAATAAACTATTGTCTGAACACAGTTGAAGCAGACGATCACTATTATCAGTTCGCTGAGCCGGGATACTAAAATACCCACCTAAATGCCTTCCTGTTTGGATTAAGCTACCTACTTGGACATTAAAGTCCCCTGCTACGAGTACATTGTCTGAGTGTTTAGCTTTCTGAATAAGTTCAGAAAGCTCTCTGTAAAATCCATCCTTCACTTTATCCTGGCTGAGGTCAGTGGGAGAGTAGGAAGAAATCGTGAAAAAGCAACGACTTGTGTCCCCATCCTCCTGAGTCATTATGGTACCGTTTAGCTGAACAGAATATAGGCGATTGTTAACAGTGATCCATTCTAAAAGTGCTTGTTCTACCCACACACTTGGTGCTATGCTTACACCTGCCAGTCCATGAGAACTAGCCATCGAGTTGCCAGATATACGAGGGGTGTATCTCGTCGGATCTACGTTTTGGCGAGGTGAGGTTAAATGAATGACCACACTGGGATCCTGTATGTGTGTTTCAAAGACACAGCATACATCGATGGTACGAGATTCTAGAGTCTTAGCCAAGAATCCCTGACGGCCGATTTAAGACAGGATGGCTACGTTGAAGGCTCCAATATGTAGTTTGTGGCGAAGTTTCAGTAGACCTGGGACAATGTTTTGCGCGCTAGAATCGTTAGCTATGGTGACACTTGAGGAGAAAGCTAAAAGAAGAATCTTAATGTTGAACGTCGATGTAGGAGGAATAATAGGAATTGAAGAAAGAGGTTGGTGATGAATACAATGGTCTTGAGTGCTGTTAGAGGTATGAAGGTGGTTATCACTTCCCAGTTGCCTACACCGTGATAGGGTTCTTCTAGAGGTACCTGGAAAGGAAATTGGATTAGAGGTGGTCTTAGTGACATGAGAGCGTGACCACAGTTCCCAAGAGACAACTGCTTGGAGTAAGTCGCACACAGTAATTTTCGTGTTAGCTGAGTGCTTGTTGAGACCTTACCACCGGAGACGGATATCCGCGGGATAAGGCGAAGTGTGTATTTTTAGGGTCGACCTCTTCTAACCCCACCCCTCCTTGTAGGAAGGCAGCATCGCTGTTATGCTGGTTGTCTGAAGGAAACACCTTACTTTCATCACACCTCTGTACAGTCAGCAGTACGACCTTGATGTATTAATCTAATGAAAATTGGATACGTAGAAATATTTAAGAGAAAATAGGATAGAAGTAGTTAATATTGTATTATAAAGAGACTAACCAGTACAAATATTGTATTATTTTAAGCGTAAAATATAAAGAATATATAAATTTTGTTCACAATAACAAAAATCTCAAGGAGTATACTGAAAATTTCAGTGAACGATTGAAAAAGAGGTTTAAAAAAACATGAAAAGCAGATGAGTAAATAAAAAACGTGATTAAAATGTTATATGTTTAACAAAGTAACATGTTTGTACAGAATAAAACACACGTACATAGTGCACACTCGCTCAAATAGTCAAGTGCGTGATATCACAACGACAAAACATAAAGTACAACAAAAGTTAATAAACTAAATAGATACAGAAAAAAACACCCGTGGTAATATTCTTTTGGTTGAAACTATTTCCTGATTCTCTAATAGTATGAGTAGTTTTAACTACTTTTTAAACATAATAAATTATATATCTATAAGGGTTGTTTCAATCTTCTCGTTGTTAATATTACAGACAGTAATTGATTACTCATTTGGTATATGTGCATCCTGTACAAATTACTTCGATATTGCCATTAAGGTATGTGTATTTTAATCAGTGTTGAATAGTGGAATCCAGGATAAATTTTTCGTCCTGACTGAGATTTATCAGTTGGATGCGTTTGTAGCCTGATGTTGATATTCATGCCGGAACTCACATCCAGTATATTTTGCTCCAACTCCGCTCACAGTAAATCCACTAAGTGTGTAGAAGTGTACGATATTGGAATAGGAAATGTAATTAGTTTGTGTGGCTGATAGATAATCATACATCATCTAAGCTCAACAAGAAAAGAAGGATTCACAATAATAATAAACAAAAATTAGAAAACGTGACCAACAGTAATACAGATTTGATAATAAAGTCAAGAAGCATTTGTATACACAGTGATTAACACTGGGTTCTTGGATAACTTCTTTTACTCCTCGGTTGATAGAAAAACTGTAACATGTGGTCTCTTAAGAAGAAGATAAGTGGACAAGGAAGGTTACTGAATAGACAGTCTACAGAATTAAGGTGAGCGAAAACCACTGAAATCCTTTGTAAGTGAAGATAAAGATGCTTGTTTAGAGAATTAATGAAGTTTTAGGGTTTATCCTATTTAGAGTACTTAGGATTAGTTTCTGATCTAAGCGGCTATGAAAGACAGAAATAATCATGGAACAACGAGGTTGAAAAACTGGATTAAACTGAATGTTGTTTGACATAATAACATGATAAATTTGATTATTTTAACTGAAAAGTCTCAAAATGATCAAAAGGAAAGATAAAGAGTAAAAAATTAATAATGTTCTCAGACTTTTACTTTTCTAATATTAATATTTCAGGCTACTTGAATCACGCAGTCTAACAGTGGAAAAATAATATGCAAATCTTATACTACTCAATTTTAGTTAAATAGTTTATCTTACCCATCTTGGATTTCTAGTGTCAGGAGGCATGACATGTTTTTGCATTAGTTTCATAAAAGGACGTTGGGGAATGTTTTGTATTGTTGGTTTGGTGGTTTTCTTTGGAATTTCTGGATGAGAACGTGTACATGACTAAATAAATGTGAAGAAAGAAAGGAAAGATTATATGTATATATACAGGAAATAGTTAAACAATGGATATCAAATATCAAACACAGTTGGGCAAATAAATAAACAGGGTTGACGACTAATGTTAAAAAGCCCTCGTCTCACCAACATTCTAATAAACAATCTCTTCACCTTTACAAAGCTCTTTTGTTTGCAATTTAACAAGAGAGAGAGAACAGCATGAATTTAGTCATTATGGGTATCGACAAAAAGCGGAACTTAACAGTTTTCTTATATTCTACACTTAATTAGTTAGTAAGAAGGATGGTTTTTCAATAAAAGAAATAGGTTACATACGTAGAGAAATTAATCGGGAAACAACAGTTATGAATACATTTTTCACCGAATTACAAGGGCACATCAACCAATCGATATGATCACGTGATAGCTTTTCATGAGGTGTATTTTAAAAACGTAACCCGAAAGGTGCGAGAAAGAAAGCTTTCAAATGAGATTCATTTCGCAAAAAAGGTCGCCTTCAAAAGCCGTACAATCAGACTTGAGAGAATTTAAAACTTTATACGCAATTCTGAAAAAGAAATAACAAAAATAGATTATAGTGACTATAAATAGCTGACGGCTTAAACAGCTAAGCTACGATCTTGCTGATACATAAACCACATTAGATTATCTACATGTTCTATGGGCTTTTCTGTTTCAATAATTTTCCTTCTGAATTGTAATATGGTAAAAATTAAGCAATAGACATGAGACCTAGATGTTATGGGTTCGATCACTGGCAGGACCATGGTTGCGCACTGCTGAGGAGTCTCATACTGATACGAAGTAGATGTTTGTCGCTTCCTAGTTTTTAATGGTACCTCAACTGAAATCGATCTGCAACGAATATAACCTACAAATTTCATCAACACTGTAGAGGGTAAAATTTGTTACTCTTGTTACAGACTTCTCTTATCTATGAGTTTTTGTGAATAACTGTTACAAAATAGACTCATTTTCCCCTAATTATCATTCATTCTTCCGAAAATTTCTTCGCGAACAGTTTAATTAGTAGCAGTTTTATCATTTAATTGAATTTTGTTGAAAATTTATTAAAAATCTTTTTTTTCCTATGGTTTCTTTCTGTGTTATATAATAACATCTTTCTCAGGTAGAATATAATAGGTAGGGATGGAAAACAAAAAACATTATAGCAACTAAATAAAAAACAACTGGATTCAATGAGCATTACAAGTCTATTAAAAAAACTCTCTACCATTAGTTTGAATTGTTTTTTTTTAAAAAAAAGATAGTTGACGATTTACACTTAAAATGAATAAACTAATCTAAGTAAATAGAATTTAGCAAAGGATTATATCAGTAATACGATGGGTAATAAATAATCATTTGAAATTTTTTCAGAATGTTGAATCATAACTAACTGAGGATAAATTTCGTTTAATTTTCTACTACGTGATACTTGCTACTGAAAACTGTGAATAGGATGAGGCAATGAAGAATTTGAAAAAGAAGAAGAAGAAGGAAATAGGGATAAGGAATGATTTACCTCATTAGAAAAGTCAATATAATGTCTATGTAAAGTAATGTCTACACAATTTGCACTGATCAATAGTCAGATTTGTATATCTTAAACTGGGTAGTACTTGCCATTATACTGATAAATAATTTATTGAATAAACACTAACCATCTATAATCAATCGATATACTAAAAATATTACTCCTTTATAGAAAATTGAAAAAAGAAATCAATATTATAAGTTACTGACAATTTAATCTTAGCTTACAATTTTTAGTGGTCAATAAGGTTTCCTATGTTAACTACCTTCAACATCAAAAAATAATATACATAATATTGAGTTTATTAAACTAGTGATCACAATGCAACTTAATCGATAACAACAATGAGTACTCAAGAAACATACACAGAAACAAACAACAGAAAGTTTATGTCTTATTTCAAACCCTGTAGTTCTAAACACTTCATCATCTGGTGTAAAGAAAGCTGGTCAATCAGGATTAAAAATTCACTAAAATTGCAAAGATGGACCACTCAGTTCTTACTTAGTACTTAAAACATGTTATATATATATATATATATATATATATATATATATATCACTACAGTAGTTGGATTTTAGGAAAATGCGTTTCGTCCTGTTTGGGACTCGTCAGCTGGATGTATTTGCATCTCAATGACCAAATGAACACAGTAATTCAATCGACAAAGCGTTAATGTTTGAAGTGAAAGGTAGTGAGTTAGTCTCAATGTAAACATCAACACAAGGATGCATTTGTATCCAGATGACAAGTTTTAAATGGAACGGACAGCACATCCCGAATTTTACTATTAGCCACAATACATAAATTTAAAATGTGCGACAAACTGACTATATCGGGGGAATCAGCACAGGATGTAAAAATGCCAATAAACTGATCGAATTTCAGTCCCAAATATTAACAACAGGATAATTGGAACTCGTACCAATAATGGTCTTTTGGTATATTATGAACTACAGATATATATTAGAAGGGGTTTTGTGGAGATTTTTTTAGAAATTTCAGCGGGTCCTGGGTTCGAATCTCTCGGGGAACGGGATCGTGAATGCGCACTGCTGAGGAGTCCCATACTAGGACGAGACGGCCGTCCAGTGCTTCCAGGTTTTCCATGGTGGTCTAGCTTCAATTGACTCATGATCTCAACTATTGAAATATATATATATATATATATATATATATATATTCTATTGATTAATGGTTATTGACTCGGTAACTAATTTAGATGTAATTAATTTGCAAGCAAATTAAAAAGCGCTTTCGATTCCCAATAATCTGAACATTGATCTTTTTTTAACTTTTGATCATTATATCATTTTGCGCGGAACATGTGTTTTCTAACATATTTTGGACTATTGTTGAGTAAGTGTATATTTAAACATTTACTTTAGTAAATGGTTACAAAAATGAAACAACACACACAAACACAAAACAAAGTACAAAAGCAATCCTGAGCCAGTAAACAAAGTAGAATAAGCTTCCTATTTTTTTTTAAAAAAAGAAACAGATATAAACACTGAATTTTAAACATGATCATACTGAAACAAATCAAACTTAAACTATAAAATGTATATTTTAGTCAGTTTGTAATTGGTAACATACGCACAATAACCTTTATATACGGTACACAAGTTTAAGAGCTGTACATTTTCCAAATTGTTATTTACATGGAGTATCAGATGATTTAGACCTTAATCTGATCAATCTAATAAAGCACTAATAAAAACAATGATTTTAATTACAGCTGAACACTAATTATTACGACGATAATTACTTGTTATCCCAGTAATTACTAAATGGGAATATATTTACAGATAAGCATACTAATATATAACCGTAGCTTTCGGCCTGTGACATGAGTAATTATCAAACTAAAAAGGTCACTCAGTAAACAGATTCATACTTGTACACTTGGAGATATAATTTTGTGTGAAGGCATATGATGATACGTAACGGATCATAGAACGAAAAGTGGAGTTAAATTAAGATCGACAGCTCAGTGGTGCTTTAATCATCAACTATAGCGTCGTAAAGGTATATATAGCCATGGTTAAGTTAGACCTTACATATTTTTAAATTCAATTGAGTAGAAAAAAGTTCAAACTCGTAATCTCTCGACCAAAAGTTAGTTATAAGCTTTAATTACTAAGCCAGAATACTATGAGGCCTTCATACTCTTAAGACAGTTACTATAGATAACACTATATAATGTTATGTGACCACTGGGGTTTGAAAAGAAAGCACAATCACGGTATTGGCATATTTTGTGACAACGCCAATCCTACCCAGGAAATTATTGGTATAAGATTCTGCATCTAGATCCTCAAATACCATATTACGACCGAGGGCGAGAAGATCCTCTCCCTCTCTCTCTCGAAATGCTCTCATATGGCCATGCGTATATAACCACTGCCAGGAAAGTCCTACTCACTCCCTTCTTGTTGCGCGGGTTGTTTACAAACTTGGGAAGACGAAAACTGAATGTCCAACACCGAATAGTGGGTACGCACGATCCACATAGGAGAGTTGTAAAGCCCTGATTCTAAACCAATGGTGCACATGAGCTCCAGGATCCTGAGACGATCAGTTTATCGCATAGTATCAAAGGATATCTCAGTTGGATTAGGCTATGTTGGCTAATGTTACAAAGTTGTGGATATGATCTTAGAAACAATGCAACTGAGAGGCTTCAGACAACATACACACAGTCAGTCAGTCAGTATCAACGTGGAACTTTGTACGTACGTACATCAGTTCGAGTTACCACACCACATTAGCACAGAGATGCAGTTATCAATTCAAATTCCGTAGTGGTAAAGGTAGTAAGAGTATAAGCGGTAATCGGAAACATTTGTGTTTTAAGATGTTGTTCAAGGAGTATAATCCAGTGAAATAAATTTGGAAAGAGGAAAAAAAGACATGAAAAATTCAGAAGACTAGAATTTGGGAGAACACAAAAAGTGGATGCACATGCGCCATTGCAAACGATTTTGAGCCATGTCATTCAAGGTCTCTAACCATCAGTTGCTACCGTCTCGCGGATCCCAACCAGGTAGTCTACACCTACCAACATGACTCAGTCCACTTGTCAGTGACTTCATGGATTTGTGCCATGTTTTTGTCTGGCCGCCCTTAGCTTTCTTCCAACCTACTCCTACACCATTGAACACCGCACGTCGAGTCAGTCGGTGGTTGGGCATACGTAACACAGGTCCCAGCCATCTCAACTGATGAAGTTTCATTACTTCATCAATCGATTTGCCATCCTTACCTAGTACCCGTTTCCTAACAACTGAGTTACTTACTCGATGGTCCCAGGATATATGAGCAATGTTTCGGAGACACCTATGATCAAATACTAGTAACTTAAGAATATCCTCTACTCTTACTGACCATGTTTCACTGCCATAAAGCACGAAGGAACGAACTGCTGCGCAGTAAACACGTCCTTTGGTTGATAGACGGATATCTCGCCTATGCCATAAATGATGCAAGTTAGCAAAAGCTAGTCGAGCCTTCTGTATCCGTGCTGAGATTTCGTCACACACCAGACCACAAGGGCTGATGAGACTTCCAAGATAAGTGAAGCGGTCGACACGCCCAACTACTTCACTCCCTATCATTAGTTCAGGTGTCCGTTCAATCCAATCCTGAGGCAACATTTTGCATTTCGATGGGGAGAATCGCATCCCGAACATGCCTGCAATGTTGCTTAGAGTGGTCAGAAGACTCTGCATTTTGTCAGCGTCTTCACCAAATAGAACTATGTCATCGGCATAGTCTACGTCAAAAAGTGAATCTCCCGGTAATAGTTTAACCCTTGAAAATTTAAATGAGAAAAGTGTTATCTCCAGAAGCACGTCAATAACAAAGTTAAACAAGAATGGAGAGAGTGGACAGTACTGACGAACACCACTTGAGGTAATCAATTCTGATGACAGTTCGCCATAAGCTCTCACTCCACCAGTTGTGTTCGAGTAGAGAGCCTTTACAAGGTTAATCTAATTCTTTGGTACTCCTTTCAGTGATAAACACTTCAAAAGAACCTCACGATCAACAGAGTCAAATGCCGCCTTAAGGTCGAGAAATACTACGATTGTGGGGCGTCTGAATGTGTGTCTATGTTCTACGACCTGACGTAGTGTGAATATCTGGTCTATACAACCAAGTCCAGGTCGAAAACCAGCCTGATTTTCTCTAGTCTGTTCTTCACGAGCTTTGGTTAGGAGTCGAAGTACTATTGAAGTTAACATTTTAGAC